AAGATCTGTAAAGTTGCAAAGACTAAAGTCTCAAATCCAAAGAGATATTCTTTATAAAAGTTAAGTCAACCACGCCTACCTAAAACGGCTCGTTCTAACAGGCCCTCACATGTCTACGTCACTATGTGGGAAGATTTGAATAACGCCGCCCAAATGTTAACGCAAAGAAAGGAGGAGTAACTTTTATTCTCGCTGTAGTATTGTTGCCGCCGCCGCCATGCCGTGAAGGAACGCTGTGCGTTTCGTTGTGAAAGCGAAACTACTTTTTTTTTGTTTCCTGATCCTGGTAGAGTAGACTGCAATGCCGGCTGTTCTGACTCACAGACTGTAAGTGCGTTTTTAATATTTAAAGAATTTGCATCACAATATGGTAGGGGCGTAACATTTCCGTCACACGCTTGAAGTATTCGGCCAATCACAATGCACTGGACAGCTGGCCAATCAGAGCACACCTCCCTTTTCAGACCGATGAGCTTTGTAAAAATGTATGCGTTTCAGAAGGTGGGGCATAGAGAAACAATAATGTACAGTATGTGGAAAATAATGTGTTTTTTTAACCTTAAACCGCATAAACACATTTCATTACACCAAATACACAAAATAATGTTCTTTTTAGCAGCATCATATGACCCCTTTAAAGCCCTGGTTCAGTCTGTCTGGAGTAACCTGGGGTTAACAGTCTTGCTCAAAAGACACAATGGTTATGGCTCTTGGAGTTTCAGTATGGACCTTTTAGTTACAAGCACAGATATATAAACACAGCTGCACTTAAAGGCGACATATGAGCACTTGACTTTGAAAATATACTTCAAAAACATTGTCTTAAATGAACAGTCCACCCATGTCATTCCAAACCTGAATGACTTTCTTTTGAGTAAGACAAAAGAGGATATAAAAGAGACTGAAGTACATCAGAAACCATGTAATACTGGACACCATTGACACTGATATTTCTCAGAATCTCTTCTTTAATGTTCTACAGAACAAAAAAAGCCACTGAGATTTGGAGTAACATGAGGATGAGTAAATTTATGGGTAAACTATCACCCACACTGACACATTAACAACAGTTTTTCAGTATTCTGAAACTTTCTCTGCCTAGTCATAGTGAGGTAAACGAGTAGGACAGAACTAGTGACTACATCTATTATACTATATTTCACCCGACAGCAATCACACAAAAAAGCGCTGATACTCATTTCACAAACAATGAGGGGTTTACATAGACGTCAAAGGCAAAGTCACAAAAACTAGGTGTTTAAAGAAATACTGTTGCGGAAAACAAAAAGCTAGTTTGCAATGTTTTTCGAAACAAGTCTTTTATGCTCACCAAGGATACATTTATTTGATGAAAAATACATTAAAACTAACGCTGTAAAATATTATAATTCAAAATAACTGTTCTCCATACATATTTGGATATATTTTTCTTCAGTGTCACGTGATCCTTGAGAAATCATTCTAATATGCTGATTTGCTACTCAAGAAACATTTCTTATTATTAGCAATAGAACAATGTCTTCACTGTCTCTTCTGATAAATTTATTGTTGAATAAAATAATTAACTTGTAAATATAAATAAATGAAAATCTAACTGACCCCTAACTTTCAACAGTAGTATACTCATACCTACTACATGTTCTACTCATAACAAAACAACTAAACTGATACAGTTTATGTGTTTCATCTGTAAGCGGCAGATCCATTTATGACAGACCTTGCACCATACACACATCCGCACCTTAAGCTTGCATAAAGGTAGCCATTAGCTCAACCAGAGCATAGGAGAACTTCAAAGCGCAGAGAAATAATGAATTGGCATCATGGTCTGTGGTCTATGAACAGTGGGCTGTGGGTCTGGTAGCCATTACACCCCAGACTGTGAGATCCACATGAAGACTTTGTGAGCGCCGGACGCTGGGCTTTTAAAGGCTCTGCACCTTACGTCCGGCTCCAAACACACTGATGCCTGACACGTTGAGCTCTAGTTTCCCCCCGCAGCAGTGCTCATAACACACACTGCAACAGCAGGACTCCATTTACAGCCACCTTGTGCTCCTACTATGTGCAATAATAGGTTCCATTGCCCTGGATATTATACATTTGCATATATAAAGAAAAAAGTACTTACGAAGAGATGGGGGCGCTCCCTTGCCATTTGCCTTCAGACAGTATTTCACAGTAAAGCTAAGGGAAAGAATTGAGTAGGATTACCATTATTTTCATGATAATCTCAATGCATAATAGTCAAGACAAGCATCTTAAAGATATTACTGATGATATGTACGCTCATTTCTGCTTAAAGGGGTCATGACATGAGAAATCAAATTTGCCTTGATCTTTTGGCATACAAGATGTCTCTGTACCATTAAAACATCCTGCAAGTTTCATATCTTAAAATCTTGAGGATTTTGTTTTGTAATCGGGCCACAGTGTCATGGAGAGCTCACAAAGAAACATTTGTTGAAAGATGAAGCAGTACTAGATCTGACCGCAGATGCATCACAAACTGTAAGTAAATGATTTCATAATGCTTTGTCTGGAAATTACCGTTTTATTTTGATCATGTTGTCAAAACACTCAGATGCAATAGTGAGGGGGCGTTGATACTGTTTCCTATGCAATGGCATTAGCCAATCATAACAGTGGCTGATTACGGTGAAGCCTTAAAGTACATGCCCCTTAAAACAGGCCATTTTAGGCCATGTCCACATGTACATGGGTTCTGTTTTTGAAAAAATCTCCATCCACATGAAAAGCGCAATAGCATGCTATGAAGCACTGTCAAGAGCATGCCAAGCCAACAAGTGGCGATATAATCTCAACCGTAAAGCCAAGTTGGCCAATCAGAAGCCTGAAAAAGTTTCCAGTAGGCAGAGATAACAGCGCATGCTCTGACATCAAAAGCCAAAATCTCCGGTTTCGCTGTCTACACGATAACACTGCAACCGGAGTTTTTGAAAATCTTCACCCTGGCACGAGTTTTCAAAAATTTTTGGTTTCAGTGACCTGGTGCTGCGTTTGCGTGTGGACGAACGGCCAAACCGCATAGAAAACGCTGCGGTTTCGAAAATACACGCGTTCGTGTGGACAGGGCCTTAGACAGAGGGTCAGACTGAGGGTTGAAAATAATAATTTTTCCACACATTTATATATTTATTTATTGTCCAAAATTTTTTATTAACATTATAAGCAAACCTCAAGGAACATATTCAAATAATTTTAAAAAAATCCATGTCATGACCCCTTTAAGAAATCAGTTCTTTAAATAGATGTTTCTAAACAGGAGCATATTCATGCAGACCGATGCTTCTGTTAATGTATTGTTAAAATACACGCGTTCGTGTGGACAGGGCCTTAGACAGAGGGTCAGACTGAGGGTTGAAAATAATAATTTTTCCACACATTTATATATTTATTTATTGTCCAAAATTTTTTATTAACATAAGCAAACCTCAAGGAACATATTCAAATAATTTTAAAAAAATCCATGTCATGACCCCTTTAAGAAATCAGTTCTTTAAATAGATGTTTCTAAACAGGAGCATATTCATGCAGACCGATGCTTCTGTTAATGTATTCTTGCACAAACAACTGTGGTTTTAACAGAAGCAGAATGTTACAAGAATAACGAACCTCAGAGGCCACAGGATTGGGCCCTGTGGGACGCCCGTTATGAATGTACACCAGGCCACGGTGGAACTGCCCACCATATGGGGCAGCAATGGCCACATCTGAGAAAAAACAAAGGGATTAAAAACAAAACCATTTTAAGTCGTGGTTATTGAGTAACTGCCATGGCCAGTACTGTTTTTATCTGCTTGTACAGCCTTTGCACAAAAAGCTCATAAGTCATGATTACTGTTGCACAATGAGGCAAGGAAGACAGTGACAACAGCATCAGACCATGACCACAAATTACTAAATATGTACTGTATGTTCATCAGTGTTGCAAGCTAGGTTGGGTCCTGAAAGAACAACACAGAAAACCGGGAAAATGTGTAGAAGAAAGACAAAATAGTACCATTATATCCATCCATGTTGAGGTCTCCCAAGCTGCAGATGGAGCTTCCATATCGAGCATAGATCTCAGAACCACTGAGTTTGATGACATTGTTGAAAGTGAAGCCACCTTTGCCTAGGTAGACATAGACCTGACCCACCTCCCTCAGCTTCCCATCTGAGCCACGGTCCATGAACAGAGGAGCTCCCACCAACAAATCCATCTTCCTGAAGGGGGAAATAAAATATTTATTCGAACTGAAAAGATCAGCATAGGTTGTGTTAGGGATTTTGCAGTTACGCTTATCAACCAGCATAAAACAGCTGGAAGATTCTGCTGAATAAATGCCAAACTTCAAAAGTGCTAGCAATAAACGCACAGAACTAAAAAAGATAAGCTGATGAAAACTACCTCATAATAAAAACAGGGCTGTTCTGAACAAAAATGGTCAACATGTTCAGGCAGAGAGCAACTTGTCTGGAAACGTAGGGAACTTTATCTTCACTGTTGCACAATGTTCAGATCTCAGCTCATTTTTTTTAATAATGCCAGTGAATGCTCTCAAAACATTGCTGTGCATATATTTAGACTAGGTTTACTTGGCCCAGAGTCGTAAAAATGAATTGCTAACATGAATATAATTTAAAACAGTGGTTCTCAACTGGTTTCTAAAAAAAAACATTAAATTAAAATGCCCAAAAACCTATGGTTTGCGTGAACGCACATAAAACTCTTTAATCTTTTTTTCACACCCTTTCTGTTGGTTGATGAACAAGATGGACTCATTTGCTGAATAAATCACATGCCCCCTATTCATTCAATCACATTCATACAGCAGGTCCAACCAATAAAATGCTTTGGATGTCTTTGGAGGGTGGAACTCTTCCCACACACCTGAGGGGATTCTTGGTGGAGGGCATCTCTTCCATTCAAGAGGTCTGTGAGCTTTCACAGCTGGCAGCTGTCAGGTTAGATCACACCTACAGCTGCATCTCTGCCAAAGCTCACAGACCCAACAGACTGGAAGAGCGCAACCTGAACAACTGCGGTCTTTCCTGACATCCGTCCATCAGCCTCAGTCTCTTCAGTGGACGAGTGTCTGGGGTCTCTGTGTCAGCAGGAAGATCCCGTCTCCATCCACGGCTGCTGTGTGCAGGGCTACCAGGACACATCTACCGCACTGTGGAGCCCATGATGAAGACACACTGTGGTCAACAGCATTCCTACAGCCTTGAGCTGGGGCTGAAGATCAAGCAGTGCCTGTGGGAGACGCTCAGCTGACCTTCACTGCTGGAGACAGAGCAGCCAGATGGACGCGTCCTCATCACTGAGAGCTTCACAAGCAGCAGAAGCTTCGCTCCATGAATCCACGTGAACATCAGTGAAGAACCCCTGCCTGAGCAACACTGAGTCATCACAGTGTCTCATGGAGCATCACACAGTGGGACCTACATTTGTAAATACTGTATATATTGTACATAGTTATAGAGCAAGTTTTATTTTGTAGAGTAAGTCTTATTTTATACATTAAGTTTATAGTTTGCAGAGTAAGTTGTTAGCACATTGCTGTATTGTTGTTCAGATGTTTTTGGTGATTGTCAATGCAGTGTTTTGTGGTCCTCAGTTGTTCTAATTGGCTTTTAGTGCTTTGCTACATAGTTGTGGGGGGATGTTTTTGGTTGTTTTCTGTGTGTTGACTTGCGTTTGCCAAGGATTTCTGCACAGTTGTTAGCTTGTTGTGTTGCGGTTGCTGGACTCTGTTTGATTTTTAATGCGTTGCTATGTGGTTGTCAGGATGTTTTGAGTGGCTGGTTGACATGCGGTTGTTTTAAACGGTCAGGTTAGGGTAGGTTACGGTCCCTCACATGGTTTGCAGCTTGACGTGCTGTGAGGGCTTGTGTGCATCAGTGATGCTGAGAGCTACGCCACTGGTACTTCACAACTACTGTAGGGTCACCCATAGTGGACAGGTCTCAGCTGAGATGCCAGACGAAGACAAACCACCTGATTCTGGACAGCAGCAGATTGGCCTGATGTTCCTGTCAGAGGATCACCATCTTCTGTTTACGGGTAAGTTGGATACATACAATATATGATAGTTGTCAGTTGGAGTTAGTTTCTTTCGCATGGAATTTGAAAATTCTGAAAATAATAATTAATCGGTCAAATATTTCATAAGTTAATCAACATTAATTACAGATTTTGGAAGTGCTAAAATTTTAGATTTACTTCTTTTAGCACCTTTAGCACCTTCTCAAGGAAAGAAAACAATGTTTTATTAACAGTTTTCAAACCGAGCCTTACTAAAAGTGAAATAAAACTAAAATGTAATGAGAAAGTAAAACTATAAAACAGACAAACACACAAACTAAACTAAACTAACACAATAGCATCAAAACAAAACAACATCAGAAGCTCAAAACTATAATAACCCTGTTATGTGGCTATGTGAGAAAATAATAAAAATATAAATTCAAGTTGTCATTTTTCTAAATTTCATTTAATTTCATAATGTCTAATTATGTTTTAATTGATCTTTTTGCATTAAGACAAAAAACTTCAAATGTTTTATGTTTGCCCCTATAAAGAGATTTTGAAAAATATGCTTTTTTCTTTCCATATTAACTCATTGTGGTCTAATATTGTTGTGAAGACCTCTGTCTTCCATTATGTTTACAAACAAAGTTTTCCAAAAATTCTATCAAACATCATCTTCACAGAAGAAATTAGGTCATGGTTTGTAAGTAACGACATGAAGGTGAGTAAATAATGACAGAATGTTTTGACCGAACTGTCTCTAATGTCTTGATTTCCTGAAGGTCAGTTTAAAGAGGGATCTGCTTTTGACTCACAAACTGGATTCAGCACTCAGTTTTGAACATGATATCGACCTGCAAACTATTTTCAGGCTTGAGGTTAACAGTTATGAATAGGTTGTCAAAGATTTTAGAAGATCTTCAAAATATCTTCTTTGTAATCCGCAAAAGAAAGTTATACAGGTTTAAACAACATGAGGTTGAGTAAATAATAAACAATTTAAATTTTTGACTAAAGTGTCCCTTTAAGTCTGTAAGCTTGATTTCCTGAAGACCAGTTTAAAGAGTGATCTGCTTTACATCAACAAATACTGAATTCAGAACGCTCTGAACATAAAATGGACTTACAACCCATTGGGTCGCGCGGTTGTGGCTAGAAGGGATACAGCTACAGCTGCAAGTGAGGCAATTCTAATTCATCCATCCAATTCAAGTTATTTTATGTTTTAGATTCATTTCTAATGTCTTATTATATATTTAATATATATATATATATATATCGAAAAATGGGTTTTGTGAAATTTGTTTAGACTCACAGATTTTCAATGTATGGGCAGCAAACAGTTGAAACATTCTTCAAAATATCTTCTTTGTGGTCCGCAAAAGAAAGTTATACAGGTTTAAACAACATGAGGTTGAGTAAATAATAAACAATTTTAATTTTTGACTAAAGTGTCCCTTTAAGTCTGTAAGCTTGATTTCCTGAAGACCAGTTTAAAGAGTGATCTGCTTTACATCAACAAATACTGAATTCAGAACGCTCTGAACATAAAATGGACTTACAACCCATCGGGTCGCGCGGTTGTGGCTAGAAGGGATACAGCTACAGCTGCAAGTGAGGCAATTCTAATTCATCCATCCAATCGGGCAAGATTTTAGAGATTTTGGTTTAAAGGACTTTGCCACAATGTAGGCTGATTAGTTCAGTAGTTGTCTTCTTCACTGCCCATTTAATTAATTTTTTCTTTTGCATCACAAAACCGGGCCACGCCCTACCAGTTGTGAACCACTGATTTAAAGTATCCATTAGTGCATGAATGCACATTCTTAAAAGAAAAGATTGTGATAATAAAAATTATATATATATATATATATATATATATATATATAACCGATCCCATCTATTTATCATTTCCAAAATATTAACCATATCAAAATGATTAAATATCTTACCAACTTCACCGTCATCATTAAAATCACCAACGGCCACAGAGTAACCTAAGAGCAAATCAAATGATGACATTAATATCTGCACTTCACTGGCGATTGTTTACTTTGTATTTTCTGATCACTGCACCTTAAAACACCTAAACATTCATTACATATGTAACCTAATATTACAGCAAGCTCTACTCCTGGTTTCCAGGTAACAGTGCACCACCACTAAACAAAATTACAACTTTAAGAAATATCAAAACAAAAGACACACAGGCTTACCCAAATAACTGTCATCATACTGAGCTCCGGCTGACTTGGTTGATAACTGGTTACCGTAAGGAGTAAAAAACTCCTTATTGTATCTGCTGATGACCTCAGTGATGTCATCTGAGATCAGCTGACCTAGAAAGACAAAAAACAGTTAGGAAAGCACAAATATGAAACACACATATGGAATGAAGTGTGCAGGTAATAGAGATTTCTTCAGCCTGCATGTAATGTTTAGCACACCAGAAAGATGTAGGTGTCAATATGCAGACATGTACACGTTACAAGTAAAAACATGCTTAACAAAATGTATTCTAAACAGTCACATCGTCCTCAGTCATGTAACACTACTATAAATATGGTTGTCCTTATGGTCTTTAATCTTAACTAGACTAATATAGACTCTCTCAACATCAGTTAGGAAGTAAATAATGAAATGTTGTGATGCCACTAACTTCATTTTTCAGCAGTGTAACAGGAGCTCAGGTTTTTTTAAAACAGTGTAACTTTTTCAGCAGCAAGCTATTTTTTTTTTACAGTATATTAACATGTTTTACGCTACATTTTATTGCTCACACAGCCTTACGACAGAGCGAGCTGATGCAATAATCAAACACACTCCCTTCAAATGATCTCTTACTTAAGTCTAATTTATTTTAGGGGCTACATTTCTTCAGTTTGTTCATTTAAATTTATCACTAAAAAGTAGTTATCAATTTTCTGAAAATTAGAATAATAATAATTTGAGTAATCAGTAAAGTTCCCAGACATTTGTCACCTTTTTGTAGAAAAATGTAGGAATACATTAACAAATGTAAACAACAAAATAAAGACTTATTTCAAGTCTATCCAAGGTTAGCTTAGGTCACTGTGTCATACATTTCTGAAAGCATTTTACTCTTAGCATGTTGTATAATTATCATATCATCAGCAAAGAGAGGTAAAACGAAAACAGAAAAAAGTTCCTTCAGTCTGTTCATTTAAATGTACTGCTAAAATAATTTAAAAGTGCCATAGAATGCATTGATACAATATTTTAAATTGTTCTCTGATATCTACATAGAAGGTATGTGGCTTAGGTAAGGGCAAAAAATCTCCAGAAATGGTTTTACATGTCCATTTACAACCCTAGGATTTGTCCCTAAAATGAAATTGTCTGTTTTGATCTTATTTGGAAGCATCATGAATAATAATGTTGAGCTCTGCTCTGATTGGCAAGAAGCTAACCATGTCCCTTTAGTGCATGCGTTATTTGCTTTCCGTGCCTTTCTGAATACAGACACCAACCCATCCCTGCACTTCACTTCCCCTGCACAGCCTGGAACATAACATTTATTTCCATGATCTGCCATTTTTGCTATTACCAACATATCGGTTATCGGCTTTCAAAAATAAAGAATAATCGGTTATCGGTATCGACCAAAATTTTCATATCGGTGCATCCCTAAAATAAAGTGTCCTAATATTTAAAATTAATATAAAAACAAACAAACAAATAAATACATATATACATATATATATATATATATATATAAATAAAAGCAGATTTCTGTGAATTTAATACCTTCACAAAGTCAGCACTGAAACCTGCTTGACAAAATCCTTGTCCCTCAGGTGAGTTTGAGTCTGAAGTAAAAAAAAAATATATATATATTTAAAGTCATTCATATATTCACAACAAGCAGAAGTTGTTTTAAGGAAGTCTCAGAATGAAGAAAAAGGAAGGCAAACTTCAGACAGAGGAACTGTCATAACCACATGCACACTGGCTGGCACATTATCTGGTGAGAACTTTAACTCACACATGTCTTAAAAACCATGAGTGATAAGGACATGATACACAACTACGATATTCCATTAATCTTAGTTAAGACATTTCTGAGGGCGCCTACTAGATATGACCCAATAAAGGCATGAGCAGTCTGAGGTAAAGAGCGGTGATCATGTACATACTAGAGCGGCAGGGTGAATATTCCACAATGTTATTGCCTTTCTTCAGGTAACAAGTCCCAACAGGTTCTCTCTCTGATAATCCATACGTGCTCCACTGGTAGAGAGGAGCACATGCCTGAAAAAAAAAAAAAAAGAGATGTGCAAATAAATACAAGAGTAGTAATCATGTTCTTTCTGTAAATCAGCTCAAACCTAGTTCTTCCAAACAGCATGTTGGAAGCTAATTACTTTAAATCTTTTTTATTTTTAGTGCCACATCAACACTGAAAGACAAGATCAAAGTACTTCAAAATAAAAGAGGCAACAGCTTCTTACAATATTGCAATAAAGACTACATAATTCCAATTTGACATACTGCCTTTTAATCTGGGATTTCTGATGCATATACAACTGTTTTGCGAATAAAATATTTTTATGGTCCATAAAACAAAAACATGCTCTGTTGCATCGGTTTTCTTTCCTTTTTGAGCTCTGTACGATCTTTTTTCAGAGCAACTTTCACACCCTCCACAGACAGACTAACCAGAATATGGTCCCCAGAGGAACGCACAGTGGCCCCAAACCATTGATTTGACTTGAACTCCATTTGCTGTCCATTGGAATTCTTCCTGTCATCTGTGATGGAAAACGACAGGGGGAGGGAGAACAGGAAAGGAGGAGATGGAGGGAGGAACGGAAATATAAGTTAGGTCAGTTAATTAGAATCATCAGACTATCATAATTTCCTTTGTAGTGGACTACAATGCTCTTCCCATCACTACAATCTCATCCACTGGCATGTTCCTCAAATTACAACTGATTTCAAAAGGTCTGATATGACAAAAGCCTCAAGAGTTCAAAAAGTTGAGTTGATATGCTGATATGAAACACTCTCTCATCTTGTTCATTACCAAACCATCTGAAGTTCAATCCTAGGTCAAGTAGAGTGACAGCTGAATCTATTCATGGCATGATAGAATTAAACCCTATACCTTTCCTGCTATTAACAAGCACAATGAACCTCTAGTGACAATAATAAGAGAAGTAGGCCGAGAGGGAAACTTTTTTTTTAAACAATATCTGTGCTCATTTTAGGGGAAATATGTGGAATTCTGGATTTTAAAAAAATGCTAAAACATGTTATGAAGCTCAGACTGCTCAAATCTTAATGGTAACTGAAAGCATAATCATATTGAGGGATGGATGATTTATATAAATGGAGAATGAAAGTTTTTTTCAGTGCTTCTGCAGAAGTGTCAGTGATTTGTTCATTATAACATTATTCTGACATCATTCTAATCATTAAATCACTCTTTTAGTTCTGTAATATTTACTCTAGGATTCCAAATTAATGCTCTTCCAACAATACTTTGCAGTTGAAGGTTTTCCTAGTACTGCCGTGATCCTTACACACACACATAACCAAAAAGATATTCCCTCCCTGCGGCTGGTTCATCTCAGCCACAGTCTCAGCCTCAGGATGCCCCAGCTGTTCATCTGTCTGTGCTACTGGGCTGGGAATTTCCCGGTGTTTCTCATGGTCAACAGAGTCATACAGCCCATGGTCAACAACTCCCAGGCTTTACTAGAATTAAGCATTTAATTATTGCCAAACAACACAAAAGGGGAGTTGATGGTACTGCGGCTCAATGGAAACACAGTTATATAACCCTGCTGTAACAGCTCAGCATGAGTGTTGTTCCATACACAGTGTTTTCCATCTCATACTTCTGACATTTTTCTCTAATCTAGACTCTTCCAGCTCTTCAAACAGTCAGCGGGTCAGCCAGCACAGAGAGCACACTTGTAAAGCCACATCATTCACAGTAAAAACATGTCAGGACACAGTTATGCTTTGGCAGTTGCTTAACAGAAGAATGTTTAAGCTTCTTTCTTGCAAAAGTCATTGTTAAGAAACAAATATAAACATTACTCTACTGCAGTAAGTGCACTGAAAGAAAAAAAGAAAAAAAATCTGAAATATCTTGAAGGTCAGTGGACAATATTGTGGCCCCAATAGGTATCCAGACACTTAAAGTGTTCACACAAAAATGAGAACAGATATGTATAGCTTGGCAATCCACTAACGGTACTATTATTAGGAATTAAAAATAACATATTAGCTCAGAGAAAAGGTCTAAAAATGTGCGCTAATCAAAATGAATAACTAACTGAAGTACTAGTGAAATACTGAAGCTACAGAAATTTGTCATTAACAACCGTTTCCACTTTCCATTTGGTTTGGTATTTAATTTAAATCAATCAATGAATTAATTTAATCAATAAACAGCAATAATATTTATTTACTAAAGCTATTTTGTCATTAACAACTGTACTGTAAAAATGTTTTATATATATATATATATATATATATATATATATATAAATAAAATTTGGTTGGATATTTATCATAAATAAATATTTTTTTCCACAAAATATATTTAATTATATACTTCAAACTTGTCTGCTTACTCCACCATGGGTGCACAGCATCCATTAAATCTACACTATACTTGGTTCTTTTTCCAAGAATTTCTTTAAGGGTGAAAAGGACACAAAGAGGAGTAGTTCAGTTGTTGGTGAGAACTCTAAGCATACTGAGATAATCCAACTGAAGACCTTTTGTTTGTCTGGTAGTTCCTCTTCTAGCAATCCAGCTTGGCTGGCAGGGTAAATCAGGCCAGAATAGCTATAACTATCACTGAATGCCAATGAGATCTGGCACAAAAAAAAGCTGGTGCCTATATTCACTTCAGAGCAATGTAAGGCTGAACAAAGTCCTGTTAGTGTGAAGAATCTGCAAACTAGTTAGTAGGCCAGCACATGAATTTTGTGAATGGTTAAAAAAAAAAACACTTCTCTGTTGCAGGTCATTGCCAAGCATGTGAATTCAAAACATTCTGCAACAACAATCTTACAATCCTAGATGAGCCTTGAAATGATCCCAGACTCCCTCGCCTGTTATTTTCCCCCCGCCTATTGAAAATATTTAGAGCAAAGCTGATATATGAACCAATAAATCATTAAAAAGCCACAGGCTGCTCAGAAGGTCCTTTAATAAATCTGACAAACACAACCTCTTCCACTAGAATGCAATGTGAATCAACAGACAGACAGATAAAGCTTTAAATAACAGCATGTTGGAGCAAAGACTGCACTATGACACAGTGCTGCATCTTACCAGTGCTGTCAAACTCAATCTGGGTGCATGAGCCACTTTTGTGCCAGGGACAGTTGAAGACAGCGCCCCTCTCAGTGACTGTTGATGGGGTTTGATCAGATGTGTTCGCCCTGGGTGCACCGACCAGTATGTTTAACCTGGAAGCACAGGGTAAAATGTGTTTTAATTGCTTTTGTTAAATACTAACACTAAAACGCAATAATATTATATATACCACCTGGAGTTGAAACAAGGAAATCTGTCATTTTAATTACATAATACTGAATGATTTTATTATACATTCTAAATATTATGCATTATTATGAAAAAAAATATATATATAAACATTTAAGAAACTATAGTCCTTTACTGTGATAAATTGTTGTTAGTAATGTAATCCATTAAATGACTAATTTAGCTAATGTATTCTGACTACCCTTTGATTACGTTTAATCTAACTTTTTTATCACATAGTTTTGAATGGAATTATATTGTACTGTATTCATAGAACACAATGAGAAAAATAAATGTGTGCGTGTGTGTATATATATATATATTACATTTTTTGTTATCAACAACAGGAAATACATTAAACATTGTCAATTCCCAAACTGGGTTAATTATGTTTGTAACTGCAGTGGATAAGTGAATTGATGAAAACCTAATGATTAAATCATATTAAAATGAACACATTATTTAGAAATAAAACAAATCCAAATAAAAAGAAATAGTTTATTTTTATATCTACATGTCAATGTCACCATTAACCGACATCGAGATATGGTAAAATTTATATAAAATTACAATAAAACCTATACATGAAATTCAGTTTAACATGTATTGAATAAAACACTAAATACACTTATGCATTTCACATAACAGTTCTACAAAAAAAAAAAAAGCTTAATTTGGCTACAACATACCAAAGTGTAAAACCATATAACCTTTTCACAACAGAATGTTCTCCCACTTTCCACCATTGTTAAATGTGTTAATAAATGTATCTTTTAGAATTCTCATGCATATTTAAAAAGAATCATGCCTCTTTCTCCAAAAATAAAATAAAAATAAATGCTGCAGGCCCCTATGATATCCAAACTAGAGTACCGAAAGCACAGTAGGTTTACAAATGCAACTTAATTTACTCACTGTTTGTTGTCAGGATTGAAGAAAGCCACGGAAAATCCAAAGTAACTTCCTGGAGGTCCAGCGAAAACTGTGGGTTTGCTAATGTCCAGATTAAAAGAAAGTGCTTGTTCAAAATAGAAAAGAGCCACTAGAGCCCGAATCCAACAGCAGATGAGATGTTTGGCCATGGTTTGTATCTCAGTGCGGTGTGAGAGCAGATGAGATCGCGCTGTTTGTGGGAGGACGTCTGGATCAGCAGCACATATGATCGCCACTGATTCCGCACTCCATAACAACACAATCACTGCAACACTCACACTAATGCACTATTCAGCCGAGATGTCCGTACATTCGTTTCCAGCCTAAGGTATAAAATGGAAGCAATAGTCTGAAAGTAGGACACAGGACTGTTGTAGTCCTGCTCGGATGCAGCTGCGGGATGTCCCACTGTACAGGAAGTGAAAATAGACGTAGCGTCACGCTGATGTCACGAGAAACTTCCGCAGCGTTACCCAGTGAGTGACTTAAATGGGCATGAGTGAACTGCTACACATGTTAAATGCCTATAAATCATTGTGATTCCAGACTAGAGGAATTTGTTGTTTTATTAAAGTCTTTTGATGCAGAACTATTGAAACTGCGCCACCTTGTGTTAAGAAAGGCACAAATTTGATCTGTATTTAGTTCAGGCAACAATAAACACACGTGGATTTAATTTAACCCTTTAACTGCCACCCGTCCCCTCTGTGGGACGCCTAAGTTTACTTCACTGTATTACAATTAAATCCTAATCGAATCATGACAAACTATATGTCGTTGGAAAGGTCTAAGACTCCTAAATAGATATTTTACCAATGGTTTGTAAAAAATGATGTAGGAAAAGTAATAGATTAATTTATGACAAGAGTGCACCTCAAAAATCTACATCATAAGGAGTTCTGACCTTTGTAGCAAAAAGTCTTCTTCGTTGCCTTTTTCTCTATCACACTTTAGAAATCATCAGAAATGATATATCAATTGGAAAGTTTAAATCTCAAAAATCTTCCTTTGAAACCCGTTTTAAAATCAAACACTGCATTACCACGAAAATGGTACATCAATATCATGTTACAAAATGTTTTCGTTCATGAATTATACAAATTTTAGTTTGGATCGTGCACTTTCACGTCTATGTTCAAAAAATGTGAGTGACAGTTAAAGGGTTAAACTAACATTTCAAGGAATTTTCACACACGTAATAGAAATCTTTTTTTTTTATTATTATTATTTTATTCTACAAGGTCCAGATAGCTGTAACCATTACAAATGACTGTTTAGAGCTTGAGGAAATGTTATTCATGCATGGGCTTGTCAGTGATTCATGACGTTAAACACTGGTGAAGTACATCTCCAAGAATGCAGTCTGTAAATCCCCCTGGGATCCTCCATAGACTCTGCATAAAGACATTGGGTGATTTTTTTATGTCAAGTTGGCTTGTCTTACAAGTAAAGAGGCTTGATTTTGACCCTTAACATACAGTTAATTCAAATATATATGGAACAACTGGTGTTTTATACCATGTCAGAGTAAAAGGCTTGAAAAGATTGTGTTTCCTGAGGAAATAAAAGGCACCAGTTACAAATTGGAACATAAACGACATTCTCACTCTCTAGGGAACAAAGTCACTTTTGTTTTAGAGCTGACCAGTCACGTGTGTGGTCAAAGGGGCTTTGGGGACCATGTGATACATGGCAGAGTGGCAGAATAATTATGTTTGCCTGGTGCGCATCAACATTAGACTCACTGTACGATGGACGTTCTTCACTTTGAATGACTTTGTCATTTTCCAATAAGGTGTTCTGACTTTTTAGGGCTTACTAGAATAGGAATGACTTGCTAGATCTAGCAAATGTTTTAAAGTTTAACAAAATGCCATATAGGGCAAATGTTTTGTAGCTTTAAAAGCCTTCAAATTATTTTCAACAGAAAAGTCATGTTCTAATTGAACAGAAATTCATTGTCTGTATTTTCAGAAGCACACTACCATTTAAATTTTTTAAGAAGTCTCACCAAGTACAGTAAAAACAGTAATACTGTGGAACATTATTATAGTTTAAATAACTGTTTTCTATTTTAATAGATTTGTTTAATGCATTATATAAAATGTATTGTTTATTTCAGTGATGGAAAGCTGAATTTTTAGCAGTCACTACTCAAATCTTCAGTGTCACATGATGCTCCAGAAGTCATTCTAATATGCTGAATTGGTGTTTGATAAATTACCACAAAAATATTAACCGTTGATAATAATTTTGAAAAATGTTTATTTTAAATAGTAATATTTTTGTAACATTGTGAATGTCTTTACTTTTGATCAATTTAATACTGAATAAATTTATTAATTTCGCTAACCAAAAAAACCTACTGAACACTTGTGTATCTTTGTTTTTTTTTCACTGCAGGACTGTCACAAAATTACATAATCCAAGTCCACAGGCTTATTATCATACAAGAAACATGATTTCTTTATACTCCAATTACTAAAAAGAGCTATCAGAAAGCCAACTGGTTGTTATTATTTGTTTTTTTTGTTTGTCTGGTAGTTCCTCTTCTAGCAATCCAGCTTGGCTGGCAGGGTAAATCAGGCCAGAATAGCTATAACTATCACTGAATGCCAATGAGATCTGGCACAAAAAAAAGCTGGTGCCTATATTCACTTCAGAGCAATGTAAGGCTGAACAAAGTCCTGTTAGTGTGAAGAATCTGCAAACTAGTTAGTAGGCCAGCACATGAATTTTGTGAATGGTTAAAAAAAAAAACACTTCTCTGTTGCAGGTCATTGCCAAGCATGTGAATTCAAAACATTCTGCAACAACAATCTTACAATCCTAGATGAGCCTTGAAATGATCCCAGACTCCCTCGCCTGTTATTTTCCCCCCGCCTATTGAAAATATTTAGAGCAAAGCTGATATATGAACCAATAAATCATTAAAAAGCCACAGGCTGCTCAGAAGGTCCTTTAATAAATCTGACAAACACAACCTCTTCCACTAGAATGCAATGTGAATCAACAGACAGACAGATAAAGCTTTAAATAACAGCATGTTGGAGCAAAGACTGCACTATGACACAGTGCTGCATCTTACCAGTGCTGTCAAACTCAATCTGGGTGCATGAGCCACTTTTGTGCCAGGGACAGTTGAAGACAGCGCCCCTCTCAGTGACTGTTGATGGGGTTTGATCAGATGTGTTCGCCCTGGGTGCACCGACCAGTATGTTTAACCTGGAAGCACAGGGTAAAATGTGTTTTAATTGCTTTTGTTAAATACTAACACTAAAACGCAATAATATTATATATACCACCTGGAGTTGAAACAAGGAAATCTGTCATTTTAATTACATAATACTGAATGATTTTATTATACATTCTAAATATTATGCATTATTATGAAAAAAAATATATATATAAACATTTAAGAAACTATAGTCCTTTACTGTGATAAATTGTTGTTAGTAATGTAATCCATTAAATGACTAATTTAGCTAATGTATTCTGACTACCCTTTGATTACTTTTAATCTAACTTTTTTATCACATAGTTTTGAATGGAATTATATTGTACTGTATTCATAGAACACAATGAGAAAAATAAATGTGTGCGTGTGTGTATATATATATATATTACATTTTTTGTTATCAACAACAGGAAATACATTAAACATTGTCAATTCCCAAACTGGGTTAATTATGTTTGTAACTGCAGTGGATAAGTGAATTGATGAAAACCTAATGATTAAGTCATATTAAAATGAACACATTATTTAGAAATAAAACAAATCCAAATAAAAGAAATAGTTTATTTTTATATCTACATGTCAATGTCACCATTAACCGACATCGAGATATGGTAAAATTTATATAAAATTACAATAAAACCTATACATGAAATTCAGTTTAACATGTATTGAATAAAACACTAAATACACTTATGCATTTCACATAACAGTTCTACAAAAAAAAAAAAAGCTTAATTTGGCTACAACATACCAAAGTGTAAAACCATATAACCTTTTCACAACAGAATGTTCTCCCACTTTCCACCATTGTTAAATGTGTTAATAAATGTATCTTTTAGAATTATCATGCATATTTAAAAAGAATCATGCCTCTTTCTCCAAAAATAAAATAAAAATAAATGCTGCAGGCCCCTATGATATCCAAACTAGAGTACCGAAAGCACAGTAGGTTTACAAATGCAACTTAATTTACTCACTGTTTGTTGTCAGGATTGAAGAAAGCCACGGAAAATCCAAAGTAACTTCCTGGAGGTCCAGCGAAAACTGTGGGTTTGCTAATGTCCAGATTAAAAGAAAGTGCTTGTTCAAAATAGAAAAGAGCCACTAGAGCCCGAATCCAACAGCAGATGAGATGTTTGGCCATGGTTTGTATCTCAGTGCGGTGTGAGAGCAGATGAGATCGCGCTGTTTGTGGGAGGACGTCTGGATCAGCAGCACATATGATCGCCACTGATTCCGCACTCCATAACAACACAATCACTGCAACACTCACACTAATGCACTATTCAGCCGAGATGTCCGTACATTCGTTTCCAGCCTAAGGTATAAAATGGAAGCAATAGTCTGAAAGTAGGACACAGGACTGTTGTAGTCCTGCTCGGATGCAGCTGCGGGATGTCCCACTGTACAGGAAGTGAAAATAGACGTAGCGTCACGCTGATGTCACGAGAAACTTCCGCAGCGTTACCCAGTGAGTGACTTAAATGGGCATGAGTGAACTGCTACACATGTTAAATGCCTATAAATCATTGTGATTCCAGACTAGAGGAATTTGTTGTTTTATTAAAGTCTTTTGATGCAGAACTATTGAAACTGCGCCACCTTGTGTTAAGAAAGGCACAAATTTGATCTGTATTTAGTTCAGGCAACAATAAACACACGTGGATTTAATTTAACCCTTTAACTGCCACCCGTCCCCTCTGTGGGACGCCTAAGTTTACTTCACTGTATTACAATTAAATCCTAATCGAATCATGACAAACTATATGTCGTTGGAAAGGTCTAAGACTCCTAAATAGATATTTTACCAATGGTTTGTAAAAAATGATGTAGGAAAAGTAATAGATTAATTTATGACAAGAGTGCACCTCAAAAATCTACATCATAAGGAGTTCTGACCTTTGTAGCAAAAAGTCTTCTTCGTTGCCTTTTTCTCTATCACACTTTAGAAATCATCAGAAATGATATATCAATTGGAAAGTTTAAATCTCAAAAATCTTCCTTTGAAACCCGTTTTAAAATCAAACACTGCATTACCACGAAAATGGTACATCAATATCATGTTACAAAATGTTTTCGTTCATGAATTATACAAATTTTAGTTTGGATCGTGCACTTTCACGTCTATGTTCAAAAAATGTGAGTGACAGTTAAAGGGTTAAACTAACATTTCAAGGAATTTTCACACACGTAATA